AGGTGTTATTCGTATTTCAAGCAGAGGAAGTGGCTCAAGGGCACATAGTCTGTAAAGACGAGGGGCCAGGACTCAAGCCTGGGCCTGTGGAGCCCATGGCTGTCAGGCCTGCTGAGCCTGGCAACGACCTTGATGGTTTCCACACAGGCGTTCCAGGTCGAGAGTCACCGACGTTACTAGTTACACACTCGCGCCTCTGGTCCCTGGGCCTTAAACCCAGCAGGCCTTGGGTCTGAGTGGCAGGGACATGCTGCTGTGTGATGCTGTGGCTGTTTTGGGGACTTGCTGAAGGCACATTTCTCCTTCCCTGTGGATGCCAATGAGGGTTCCCTTTGCAGCTAGTGGGGCCGCCCAGCTCAGGTGCCCACGCGTGCGGGGCTTACATGCTGGAGGCCTGGAGTGTGAAGCACTATGGTGTGCTGCTGGAGGCTATGTGAACAGTCCTGATTTGCCCCTGGTTTAACTCTGCTCACACACACGCCCTGGCTGTCAGGAGCCCTCTGCTCACATGCATGCAGCCTGCTGTGATGGGGACCCCTGCCACTGCCCCTTCTGCCAGGAGGTGGGCTCTGTAGCCGTGGGCTGCCATGCAGGGTGGCGGGCCCACCATGGCCTCGTTGTCCAGATTTCCCCCCTCAAACTGGATGCCAGGGTTTTAATGTGAAAACTCTCAGTGTTGAATTGTTGGGTCAAATATTTTTCAAGTGCCGTGAGTTTGACCAAAGCACTGCTTGGGCTCCCAGTTATGACCTCTGTCTGAGCAAAAGGGTTCATTCCCAAGGAGTACCGAGAACAGAGCTCTGGAAAATGCCAGAGAGAAGCATACACCCTGTTGGGAGCTGTGGGTGCTTCCCTGTGGGGACAGACTGTTGAGCCACCTCCTTTAGGGTCAGACCCGGCACCCTCAACATGATCAAGCGGGACCCAGAAGTAAAGAAGATGCAGAGCCTGTTCTGGGCACCAGGGACCCAAGGGAGAGACATTCTCCTCCACCCACACAAGACTGTAGGGCCGGCACGTTTTCGTCCCTATCAGCCCTGGTCTTACCCCCATACCAGGATGTGGAAGAGGGATTTACTGCCTTAGTTTTTGGATTTTACAGCCGAGTCGGCTGAGGTGGAACACAACGAAGTCACGTGCTTCCAGACGTACAGCTGGCTGCTGGTGGGTCAGGGACTGTGAATTGTGTCCCCGGGTCCCTGGATGCCCATCCCAATCTAGTCCTGCTCCACCAGCCAACAGCCTGTCTCTTCTGCCCCCGCACAGAGCCTATGGGAGAGATTTGCAAAAAAGAAGAGAAAAAGAAAGAGAAGAAAATGAATCAGCCTTACGGAAGAAGAGGCCTCCCCATTACTGAGCTGATCTGGGTGACCCTTGCTTGGCCACGGGTATGGGAGAGGCGTGGTTGCCGAATGTGGCAAACACAAATCCGGAGGCCCGGTTCAGTGTGGGTTTGATGCAGGTTGCGACAATTGGGGCCACTTATACTAAAATGTATTTGTTGTTGATGTGAAATTCAGGTTTACCTGGGTGGGGGGGCCCTGGATTTATGGGGCGACCTCGGGGAGAGCGGAAGTCGGGCACGCGGTAGGGGAGGGTTGGGAATGCCCATCTCCATCTTGGGGATTCTGGGAATCCGGAAGGCGAGCAAAGCCAGGAGCGGCGACAGTGCGCTGTTTGGTCATTCTGCCTCCCACGCCTATGCCCATGCAGCCCGCGGGACAGTGACCTGCGTCATCCCACAGCTCGGCCCCTGGCATCCAGCCCCCTGCGGGCGAGCTCTGCGGCCTGCTTCCGGCCCCTTAATTGGATGAAGTGTGCAGCTGGGCGCCTGAGGAAGGGGAGGTGGGGCTGCCAGGCAGGGAGGAAAATTAACCTTGGACTCAGCAAGGCCACTGGCTGCTGATTTATTGATTGCCTTGAAATAACAGCCCAATCTAATACAGGCTGACCGAAAGTCAGAGAGATAGCAGTTATTCATAGGATTCCTCGTTACCTCTTTCCCACATGGCCCATTCTCGGGCACTGCCACCTTTTGTTACGAGATTACTCAGAAAGTACATTTATCACCGCCCCACTGTTCTCCAGGTGAAGGGACAGGGGTGTGGGGGGCCAGCTGGGAAGTCGGGGGTGGCAGAGTGGTCCCCAAAGGGCTGGGGCATGAGCCCCCTTCCCGGCCACCCAGGAGTGCACTGTGGTTAAGGAAGTGGCGTGTGGGCTCTGGGCTGGGGTCTGCTGTGTATCCTTGGACGCATCAGTCAGCCCCACGGACACAGGGGAAAGGCCCCTCCTTTAGAGGATGGGCCCAGGACTCCGGGGTGTCGCGTGGGGAGAGTCTGCTAGGGTCCATGGCATTGGCAGCCATTCTGGCCCTAGAGCTCAGGTACAACAAGGGTTGGATTTAAAAATCAGCTCTCTTGAGGTATAGTATACACACACTGTAATGCACACATTTCAAGTGTACAGTTTGAGTGACGACCGAGGTGTCTGCCCATGTAGCCACCACGCTGATCAAGGTATAGAGCATTTCCTTCCCACAACGTCCTCCCTTGCTCCCCTCCTGTTCAGCTCCCCTCCCTGCCACAGCCCCCAGCCCCCGCCCCCGGCAGCCGATGCGCCGACCACTGTCATTCTAGTGGGTTCTGCCCCGGCTAGAACTTCATGTAAATGGAATGAGGCGGAGGGCACTCTTTTGCATCGGGCTCCTTTTGCTCAGCATATGGTCGATGACAATTGTTCTTCTGCAGAGTGGGACACATTTTGTCTCCGCGTCCCGGACGGTGGGGGGCGGGCTTCTGAGAGGCAGAGCCGTCCTCAGGAGCACCGAATGCTACCTGCTCCCACAACCGTCTCGTTTGACAGCTGGACAAACAGCTCCAGAGAGAGAGAAACGGGCCTCCTCAAGTGTGGAGCATACACCGGGCAGGCCCGGGTCCAGCATCTAGTGCTCCCAGTGATCCCCCCTCTATGCTTTCCAGACTGAGCCTGCTGGGACGGTCCCAAGCCCCTCGGGTAGAAGTAGGTGACACCTTATGTCCTTTCTAACCGATTTCAATGTCCTTTTGAAAGCATTATCCCATCAGCTGGGAGGGAAAAAAAATCAATAGTCTTTAGAGCTGTATCTTAAAATCACCTACAAGGAACCAGGTGTGCTAAAGAGAGCTTATTTGAAAAACAACTAGCTCATTGGAAGGGTGGAGAGAGGGGCCTTCCCTGGACAGGGAGCACTGGATCTGGAGCCCAAAGTTCATTCTTCGCTCCTCTTTCTGGCTGTGTGACCCCACCAGTCATTCTGAAAGGACTTCTGTTTACCCCTTCATCTGGACCCCTTGGTCAACTGCTTTGGAGGGTGACCGTAGCTTCCCTGGGGACCTTTGGAAAGAACCCTGTGCAGGCCACACAATCTGACCACCCCAGACACCCTCCTGATTTAGGGTCAGGCACACAGATGGAAAATATACTCCATGTCTTATCTTGGTAGACTCTGAGGTCCCCGAGGGCAGGCCTGCTGGTTTACTGACTTTTTGAGCCTCCTACACACGTTAGTTGGTGGAGTTGGGTTGGTTGAATCCTACAAGCAAACAACGTGGTTCAGCTACATAAAAAGCTTTTGTGCAGGAAGGGACATTAGAAAGACAGTGAAGGCTATCCACAGAATGGGAGAAAATATTTGTGAATCAGATATCTGATAAAGATATAGCATCTAGAATATGTAAAGAACTCGTACAGCTCATTAACAAAAAGATAATCAACCTAATAAAAAGAATGGCAAAGGATTCGAACAGACTCTTCTCCAAAGAAGACATACAAATGGCCAGTAGGTGCGTGAAAAGATGTTTCATGTCATCCGTTAGTTTGTGGGGACTCCAAATGAGGTGACTTGCCACGTGTCATCCACTAGAATGGCTACAGTTTTGTTTTGTTTTTTAATGGAAAATACCAAGTGTTGGCGAGCATGTGGAGAAATCGGAACACTTACACACTGCTGGCTGGCGTGAAAAACGGTGCAGCCACCGTGGAGAACAGCTCTGGAAGTTCCTCAATAAGTTAAACATGGATTTACCCTGTGAGCCAGTAATTCCACTCCTGGATATACACGGAAGAGAAGTGAAAACCCATGTCCACACAGACTTGGACACGGGTGTTCATAGCAGCGTGATCCATAGTAGCCCAAGGACAGAAATAACCCGAATGTCTCTCACCTGCCAAATGGGTAAATAAAACGTGGTCTGTGCACACAATGGGATATCATTCGGTCATAAAGTCACATGCGACAACGTGGATGAACCTCAAAAATATTATGCTAGGTGAAAGAAGCCAGCCACAGAAGGTCACAAGGTTCTGTTTATACCTCTTCTGGAAGAGGGCAATCCATAGACGCGGAAAGTAGATTAGAGGTTGCCAGGGGCTGGAGAGGGGAAGGCAGAGTGACAGCTAATGGGTACAGGGTTCCGGTGGGGGGTGATGGAAGTGTTCTGGAATTAGACCCTGGTGATGGTTGCGCAACGGAAAAACACTCTGAATTTTATTCCTAAACGTTTTTCGAAAACCTCGAATTGGCCTGGCCATGAGAAGCGTGCAGTCTGTGGCCCTGCCTCCCACCGGGCCACCTGCAGGCCCCCGGGTGGGGCATTCGGAGCCCCTTGAATGCTCAACCCTCCTTTTCTGAGTGAGGCCTGAGCTTCCCATGGGGTCAGCAGAGGCCGCCTGCCTGGAGCCGGACAAAGGGCTTGTTTACCTTCCGGGAGAATTGAGCAGTGGGCGGTATCAACCACAGATCTGCAATTGCGGGGAAGACTCAGGAACCACCGCACTCGCCTCCTTCCCGTAAACTCCAGCCTGTACCCTCTACCACCCAGGGAATCTGAGGACAGGCCCGGGAGCCGCCTCCCCCAGGGAGAGAGTCAGAGAGTCGGTGGCCTTGGGCCGAATCACAGGTGGACCCGGGGCTGCCAGGCACCTGACACTGCTGAAGTGCTGGGGAAGGGCAGGTTCGCTGGGCAAGTGGAGATGGGCAGCAGGCAGACTAATGGCTGGGGCCGGAGTGGAGATACCGGCCCCAGTGGCCCCCGGGACCTCGTCGTCCTGCCATAATTCCAGGACCAAAGAGGGCCGGCTGGGGCCTTGGAGACCCTCCGTATATTACACACAGACACATATGTTCATGTTCAGGGCCCAGGTGGGTGTCCTGCTCCCATGACCAGAGGGCGGCCACTTTGACTCCCAGCCGCCTCCCCTCCAGCACCCCCGGCTGTGTATTTGCCTTTTTGCACCCCCCCACCCCGCTCCCCAGCCTCCGCCAGCAGGTGCAGCGGGAGCCCAGCATGGCTGTTGCGCGCGTCAGGAAGCTGGGCCGGTGGAGACAAACAGAGCCTTCTGTTCACTATGCTCCGCTGTGAGCTGTTGACGGTTGAAAGTCTAGATATGATTAGGGTGAAAAACGGAAATAAGGATTCTGTGGCTAAAATTAAAAACTTGGAAGTCTGTGCCTGGGAGGCAGGGGGGCACTGGGGAAGCAGGGGTGAGGGTGCGCGTTGCCCCTTCTTGGCCTCCCCCTCCCCCGGGGGTGAGAGCACCCTGCAGGAGGGATGTAGGTCCTGGGTCTGTGCTCTCCCCTTGGCAGCCCCTGTCTTCTCCAGCAGCTTCTCCTCTGCATCCTCGGGGTCCGGTGTGGCCATTGGGGCTAGTGTCCGGCGGGACGTGCTTCCAGAAGGACCTCTCGGTCCACCCGGACAGGACTAGAGGTGCGGAAATCCCTGCGGGGCTGGACCGAGATCCACATACAGCTGCTCCGTCTGACTCTCCCTGCCTGGAATGGGGACCTGCCCCACCCCCACTTCCACGTCGCCCCTGCATTCTCCCCAGCGAACATCTTATGTTGCCTTATTCTCTCTTCCGCGCTGTTTAGGTTGCGAGATGGGAACAGAAAACCCGCAAGCTGAGCAGGGCCTTCCGATCCCCCTACCTGGCCTGCTACTCCCTGGGCGCTGTCATTTTGCTCCTGAACATTCTGCGCTCCCACTGGTAAGCACCCCCAGGCCGCCTGGCCGGATAAAGTCTGTGTTCATCGTAGGCATCTGCGGTGTCCGGAGGGACGGCCGCTGCTGCCAGTATTAGGCGGTCCAGCGAGATGCGGGGAGCCCTGGGTCTGCACCCGGGGAAGTCTGCTCTCCGCGGCTTCATGCCATGGCGAGTAACCCTTCCCTCTCTGGGCCATCAGATCCCTGTTGGTAGAGGAGTCCTTGTGGCCCCAGGAGGGGGACCTGGCCTTCCCTCCCGCTGTGCTCTCCCTCGGGGCGGTGGCTGCCCCGGATGCTGGGGGAGAGAGGGGCTGGCCCACACAGGCCTGTGCCTGTCCTGCCCACCGAGGCCCGCCAGGCCCGCTGTGTCTTCCCAGCCTCAGGGTCCTCAGCTGCGCAGCAGAAAAAGCCCCTCCTGGCAGGGCCGGCACAGGGGGGCTCTCGGCGCCGCCCTCCCCTCCCTGGGCCTGGTCTGCCCTCACCCCTGGGACCTCGGTTACCCGTTTCTTGGTGTCCTCTGGGAGGCTCTCTGCACTTAAGCCCTGTACACACTTCCGTCCCTTTTGTGAGCGGGGCACGGGGCGGGGCTCGCTTAGCAGAACGGGGCAGAGGCTGTCTCCGAGCAGGGGACCTGGGTCCATCCCACTGTGTGGAGACTCACATGTGCATGCACCACTCTCTTATCCTTTTGTTTCTGGACCCTGCCACTCTTGGCCCTGACCAAAGGGCTCCTATGAAGTGGGGGGGGGGGGCGACCTCCTTCCCTCGCTCATGCACCCCTGTGATCCTCCGGTTTCCCCGGCCTGGAGGGGCACGGGTTGGGCGGGGGTGGCCTGTGGGGTCAGGCCACACCTGGCATATGGTAGGAAAGAAGGCGCCACGAGGCTCTCAGAGCCAGGACAGTGAATGCATGTACCAGGTGAGGTTTTCAACTTGCAGGGGGCTACTCTGCCCTCCTGAACTAACCTCCCTCACCGTGCGGCTGAGAGAAATCATCACTTCGGGTTCCCGCTTGGAGGGGTGCCAAAGCTGAGGGAAGGGACAGGGAGGCACAGGGGTGTGGAGGAAGGGGCCCTCCTAGCAGCCAGGCCCTTCGTGTCTGCTCTGGCTAAGAGGCCCACATTCCGGCTTGGCTGCTGGGCACCTTTGGGCCCCCTGTGCTGAGCGCTAGCCTTCCTCTCCCACCCCGTGGGGTCCCTCCCTCAATGACTCTGAAAACTCAGCTGGCCGGCACACCCCACCGGCCTCCTTCCTTCTTCCCCAGCCCCCGCCTGGCCTGCAGCCCAGCCCTGTTAGCTCCTTTCCGGCTCAAGGGATTCTTTTCCCTTTGTTTTCCTCCCTAAGGAGCCTTTGCCCACAGGGCCTGCAGACATTCTGCCCCTCTGGAATGAATGAATGAATGAATGAATCCCTTACCGTCTCTGTTCTGTCTCCCAGCTGGGTGTTGAACTCCTCGGGGGCTGGCAAACTGTACCAAGGCCCAACCCTGCTAGCCACCTGCCTTTTTATGTCTCATGAGCTACGCTAGAACCTCGTATAAGTGGAATTACACGGTGTTTGTTCTTTTGCGTCTGGCTTATTTCATTTAGCGTAATGTCGTCAGGGCTCATCCCTGTTGGAGCGCATGTCAGAACTTGCTTCATAATGCTAAGTGAAGTAAGCTAGACACAAGGACTAATCCTGTATGATGCCACTTATATGTGGGATCTAAAAAAAGTCCAACTAAAAAAAAAAAAAGTCCAACTAATAGAAACAGAGAGTAGATTTGTGGTTGCCAGGGCCTGCGGGGGGTGGGGGGGCGGGGAGGGTGGTGCGGGAAACAGGGAGATGCTGGTCAGAGGGCACAAACTTCCAGTTAGAAGGCGAATAAGTTCTGGGGAATCTAATGCACAGCTTGGGGACTATAGTTAATCCCGTCTTGTATACTTGAAAGTTGCCGAGAGAGGAGATCTTAGAATTTCTCACCACACGCACACACACACACACACACACACGTTGAGTGTGTGAGGTGATGCACGCTAGTCAACCTTATTGTAATCATTTTATAATATATACGTACATCAAGTCATCACATCGTATGCCTTAAACCCACCCAAAGTTCTATGTCAATTATATCTCTATAAAATGGGTAAAAAATAAAAGCACTTTGAATTTTTTTTGTAAAGAATGTCCTTCTGTAATTCTGCATGTAACTGTTTGGGGAACTGCCGTACTGTTTCCCGCAGCCGCTGTACCATTTTACCTTCCCACCTGGTGCCCGCAGCCTCCTGTTTCTCTACATCCTTGCCAGGGCTTGCTGTTACTTTTTTTTTTTGGAGGGTGGGGAGGGGCAGAGGGAGAAGGAGAGAGAGAATCCCAAGCCGGCTCCACGCTCAGCACGGAGCTCGACGAGGGGCTCGACAAGGGGCTCCATCCCATGGCCCTGAGTTCATGACCTGAGCCGAAATCAAGAGTCAGATCCTCAACCAACTGAGCCACCCAGGCTCATGTTATTATTTTTTGATAATGGCCATCCTCAAGGGTGTGAACTGTTTTGATTTGCGTTCCCCTGAGCACTTCTTTTCATGTGCTTATTGGCCATCTGTCTATCTTCCTTTGAGAAATGTCTATTCAAGTCCTTTGCTCATTTTTCATCAGGTTGTTTGTTTGTCATCGTTGAGTTGTACAAATGGTTACGTTTTAAATGGTTCTGTGAGCCTCTACATGATATCCCAGGTTTTGCCTCTCAGCCTTCAAAGCTGAAAATATTTATTTTCTGGCCTTTGGAGAAATAGTTTGTCAACCCCTGGGCTAGTTGGTGACTGAGGTCCCTCCTAGCTCATCTAGATGCATAATTTTATTATGCATCTAGATGCATAATTTTATGATCTTCCATATCGGGTCAGTAAAACCTTTTCTGTCAGTAAACCTTTTCTGTAAGGGCCGGATAGTAAGTATTTTTGACTCTGAGGGCCACATAATCTCTGTTGTGGCTCCCGGAGACAGCATGTCAGCGCGTAAAGAAATGCACGTGCCTCAATTCCAATAAAACGGAATTTACTAGAACAGTCGGCAGGGCCAGATTTGGCCACAGGCTGTGGTTTGCCAGCCCCTAGTCTCCATGAAAGGAAAGTCCCATTGCTGCCTTCGGATATCCAGGTCCCCCTGGTGGATGCCGTCCAGGACCCTGGGAGGGAGTGTGAGTCAGAGCAGCCTGGGGAAGGGGCAGGTGCCCTGGGCAGCCTCAGCTCTGCTCCCGATGGGCGGGCCTGGAGCAGGTCACTTGGGCTCTCTTGGTCTCCTGCCTGAAATGGAGCAGGGGTCCCTGGTGCTCTCCCAGGAGGGGTCGTCCATCCTCACTGACCAGCTCCTCACCGAGCGTGTGGCCATGCAGGGGATCCCGGGCTGAGCAGACGCGGCCCTGCCTCGGGCGACATTTTATAGCAACCTGGATGGGGCGGTGACATGGTCAGACCTCCATGCTCCCCTCGGGAGCCAGTAGCAAGTGGGTAAAGGAGGGGCCCCTCTGCCTGGATTAGGCACTTCTCCTGCACAGGATGCCGGCAGGAGGCAAAACGCCAGAGGGCCCCAGGTCCCTGGTCCCCTGACGGGGGAGCTCCCTGGCTCATTCTTGAATCCGGGGCCTGGGGAGAGCTGGGAAGAAGACCCCCATGCCCAGCTTCTTATAGCTGGTAGCTCCTCCGCTCTTCCTCCTCCCCGGCTTGCTGCTCTTGGTGTTGGCCTGGCCTGGTGTCTGCCTTCCGGCCCATGACTTTTCTCCGGGTTGGACCAGCCACCCCAGGAAGTTTCTGGGGCGAGAGGGAAGATGCTCGCAGGCAGGACTGTTGTCTTTGCTCACCTTCCCGATCAGCAGGCACTTTCCCTCCTCCCCCGGCCTTCTCTCACTTGTCCTTCCCTCTGCTGCATTGAGTGAGGGTGGGTGGGTGCGGCTTCTAGAAGGGCTTGTGAGAATCCTGGCAAGACCAGTCTTGCCAGACCAACTGGCAAGACCTACTGCCTGTAGTCTTCTGCCTCCTCCCCCTGCCTCATATTTTCCCCGAGCAGCCTTTCTCATACATGCCTTCATTTGATTCCTAGAGGTGTGTTTTCTTTTTCTTTTGTGGTAAAATATACATAACAGGAAATTCACCATTTAGCCATTTCTCTAAAATGGATCAGTGACATTTAGAACACTTGTAATGTTGTGCAGCCCCTTGTGTCTAATTCCAGAACTTTTTTACCCCAGACGAAAACCCTGTATCCATTAAGCACATGCTACCCCCGCCCCCATCCCTGGGCACTGGAAAATCCGAATTTGCTTTCTGTCCCTATGGATTTGCCTGTTCTGGACATTTCCAGTGTGTCTGTTCTCTCTCTGTAAGCCACAACTTCCGTGGTGGGTGGGGGGCAGCAGTTGGGGTGGTGGGCCGTGCAGACAACTGAATGGAGCGCAGATCATGTGCCTGTTCAAGCCCTGGGCAGGGGTGTCAGGAGAGCGCTGGGCAGCAGGTCTGCCAGGCATGAAGACAGGGGCCCGCGGTCGCGGCCGGTACAAAGGGGAAGGGACAGGGACAGGCGTCCGTGTTGGCTCGTCTGCACCAGCCAGGCAACCAGAGGTGGTCTGGGGGCCGCCAACAGGATGCGTAGGCTCCTTATCTGGAGGCCATCAGCACATACGTGTTTGCTCTGGCTGTGGAGCACGGAGAGGGAGGCCTGAGGGGCCCCGGGGGAGGGGGGAGCATCTGTTGAAGCCCCCTCCCTGATCGCTGCATCCGCTGCAGAGCCAGTCTCCCGGGGTGGGTGGGGGGAGCCTGGTGGCCTGGAGCCAGCATGGCACAGTGTGGACAGCCAGGCAGAGCCCCGCCCCCCATCCTCCCGTCGGGGGGACAGCGGCCTCAGGACAGATGTACGGAGATGCACAGGGCACTGGGGAGCCTCTGCTGCATCGGTCAGTCACTCAGTGGAGCTGTGTTCCAGCTCACTGCAGCAGTGCCCGGGGTCGTGTGGAAACGGGGGGCATGCAGG